CCCGTATCAACAACGACCAATGAATAATACATGTCGCCGATCTGAGGACGCCGGGAACACCACCACGTCGAGCGATCATTGAATAAACAAGCGGAAATACTTCCAATTCATCCGCGTATACGCACACAGAGACACGCGAGAGTCAAGTTACCGCAGGAGCCTTTTTTTCCCCACCTGGAACGCACAATGACATCGACGACACTTGATCGGGTCCGAAACCGAGTAACGACGATAATTGCGATGTTGTGACGTGCAGTTCGATAGTTCTTTGACGCAGTTTCCGGCACAAAGGCCATTGTCGGTCCCACCCATTCTAAACCAATAAGAATCAGCTTTGCAGTTCCGCGCGGCGGCCTCAGGTAAAGGACATTATTCGGGTTTTCGTGCGGCCTCGGGTGGTGGGGGAACGCATCTCTCCTCTCCAAGCTCACTCGAAAAACGGGTCTTCAGTTCAACGTACATTTCAGTTTGTACGCAGCGGGCTCGTAGTAAGCACGCGCGTGTCTGGTCGTCCCTTGTGCACGAGGTGGTCCGTGTATATTACGCGATTTGTCTCGGCGCGGTTGTTCATTTAAGGTCGGCACCCCCGACAGGGATGTAGCTCCAGTTTGGATGGGTTCGCGGACATCGGTGCTATTGGACAGTGCCGATATCGATGTGCATTCAGTGTTGTCTACTGTTAAACTGTGATTAGTGTTGACCGGTGCGAAAGACTCGTTGTGGTCTGAGGTGAGTCTCTACTTACCCTACCCTGCTAGGAAGATGAGGTTCGTGTTCCCCCGGATAGAGTTGGATAGAGCATCACGCACAGTGATGTAAAATGACTGTCGACAATTTTTAAGCATTAAGTTTACCACAACAAACCCTTATCTTATAGGACAGGAACAGTAATAAACGAAATTGACAAGAATTTCTGAAAAATGAATAAATGGGATTGCGAACATGCCCTAATTTGGTCACATCATTATCACAAATTCGTTAACCGAATATCCCGAGGGGTTTTTCGTTAAATAGATTTAAACGATGGCCGACGTAATTTTTGGATCTATTTCCGCGTTTGTTGTGGATAAACCCTTGACTACTGAATGGCGTTTCTGTGGATGAAGAAGTTGGGGGCGTTGTAAGCACGGCGACAGGAGATTTGTGCGTATCCTCCCATTCCATTGCTGGATCTAGTTTTGGAATTTTCATCGAAGTCTTGACGAAATCTAGAGCAGTACATGCCTTTTCAGCGCGATATTCGGTAATGTTTTCTTTTCCATTTCCATTTACTATTCCATTCGGTGGCATTTGATGATTCTCTCATTTCAGCATCATGGGAATTCTTCATATAGATCTGTTTTGTTTTAACCAAGAATATATTAAATCATAATTTTCTTGGTTAGATGGTCTATTTGGTTTTTAAAACCCTGACATAATTAATTACATCGACTAGGGTACATGTGATACCTTGTCTCTGACTGCTCCCTGTGTTTCCCGTGGCATTTTACAATGTTAAAAAAAAATTAATTAAACTAAGTACGCATCACTTCAGAATAATAAGTGCGACTCGTTAGTCCGAAACTGCAAAATCGTCAACCATGTGAATACCAGTAAGAGACTGTCTAAATCCCTCATTTTTGCTCAGTTTGCTCAATTAGAACCTTCTTCGATTCTTGGACAAATGGATTTGGAAATAATGTCAAGTCTTTAGCCATTCCGATGCCACAATAAATTCCAACGATCAATGACTAACTTCTCTCATACCATTGAAATCTAACCAAAACTCATAAGAAGCAGAAGAGTTGATAGGGCTGGAATTTTGACCATAAATTCTCATTTATTCCGTCGTAAATTTAGTTAATTTTTGTTTAAGACACTCCAGTTATTTGGACATGGCATATGTTTTAACTCCATCTACTGTCAGCTTAATTAGCTTGTTGCTCACTTTAACTGCACGAGAGGCGGTGCTATGAAGATTGTACGCCTTTATCTATAAATGTTATCCATAAATTTATTGTTATTGTTATACTAATTGTTAATTAATTCGTGTAATGGACGAAATGTTCATTTCCTACCCAAAATCAGATTCAGTTTAGCCAAATATATACCTCACCCAATCTTCTTATATTAGGCTTGTGAGCCCTACCTAAACCTAAACCTAACAATGACATCCACTAACATTCACGTTCATTCGGAAATGAATAATGCCTGAAGTAAACAGTCGGTTGATAAAAGTTGACGTTCAAGTGAGTCAAGGATTAACAAAATCTAGGTCTGGTAGGCAACATGTTTTGGGTTACGCACCAAGGAAAAAATTGTCATCTATTACATCTATTAGGTTTTATTTTTTGTTTTCGTGTTTGTAAACTTAAGTCACAAACATGCGATGAGACGACAAAATGATTTTTAACTGGGCACTATATGGAGGGTGTTAAATCGTGAATAGAAGAATTTTTTCGAAAATATTTTTATGGTCTTGGTTTTGGAAGTGCAGTGAGAGGTCGGTTGACTTTTTCTTCTCAAACTTTTTTTTGTTTTTGTGGCCGTAGGCAACATGGGACTACGAAATGTAAAGAAAAAAGATCGCAGGTACATTTCTGACTGCGAAATAGCAATTACACTATTAGGTTGTCTTTCGATAGGACGATAAGATGATTTTTACCTTGGGTGCTATAAAATTAAAGGGTATCGGATTGAGGGTGTTCGTTTCAAGTTAAATACGCATGTCGTTTTGATTATAGCCCATTGGGAATGGGATATTGCCAAATGTCAAGGTGAACGGATACTTTGATAGGTAGTCGGATTAATAATAATAAATTATCGTTTATTTACAGTGGTAACCCTAAATATTTTGAGTAAATATATAACATTTTACTGTGCGGTTTCACTTAATAGTAAATTGAAAATGGGTTCTGTGTTTAAAAAAGAACTGTTGTTTTCTTTAAATTTATGATTCGCAGGGCTCTCGTTTGGCAGATAAAATCCATTGTAATTTTCTTACATAACAACACCATACCTCATATGAGACTCAAATTTTGCGTGACAAAGCACTACTATATTTATATAATACATGTCCAATAACTTGGCCTAACCGCCTATAGCAATATCAACGTCGTTTAAATTTAACATCTGCAGCGGTTCTCAACATTGTTCGGCTTTATTAATAACTAGCTAATTCTAGTGAAGCAATTATCTGCTTCCACTACGAACTTCTCAGATCAAAACATTGATACAATGACCGTGTAATATTTCGCAATTTGCTAAAACATCTAGTATAAGCTATACAAATATCAATACTATCGCGAGTAGACTTTGTATGTCGTTCTGACCACCTTTTCTAAAGGTTGGGACCGATTACCAGTTGATTTCGAAATATTCCAGAACTTAGTTGTTTGTTTAAATATTAATGATTAAAGAACCACCAACAACTCAAAATTATTTATTTATTTTCTTATTCTATTTTTTTCTTTTCTTATTCTTTTTTTTTCTCTTATTTTCTTTTGTTCTACTACATCCTAAATTCACTTTTCATCCACTGGTTGCACGGAGTTAGATTAAATATAATAATTTTACGACTAATTTTAATAGGTTTAATTTCTTTGTCGTTATGGCCACGCCCTTTAATTTCATTTACTATCGACCAAGCACATTTATTTTTGTTTTCTGCCTATTTGAATCGATGATTGATCTTTAATACGTTATCGCAGTCCATGTAAGGAGTAAAGAATATCCAATTGGTGGATAGGGGGAAATTTAATTGTCGGTTTTAACGGGCAGGACCGTCTAAAATAAGTAACGGTTATTTATTACGAAAGTGCGACCGATGGCGGAGGCCGACGGGTATTTAGAAAGATTCTCGTGAGAGTGCGAACCTCATTTCCATACCGGCAATTTTCTCGGACTGCATACGCGAGAATCGAATTTGTAAAGGATAATTGAAACAACGGTTTATAATGAAGAATCGGCCGATAATGGTCCCGGCAATAGTTGAACGCATCTTGTTCGCGGATGAATTTTAAACGTCCAACCTGTTCAGGAAAAAGTAGGTAATTATAATATTGTTTACACGCATACAATTATTTCGATGTAGTGTCTTTTCATGAGGTTTTGGTTGGCTTTTAGGAAAGAAAGACCTCCAAAATGTGATATGTCATGAAAACATCATCTACAAGGCGTTTCATCAATTATATGATATTTGTTGATTGGTGTATGGATCAAATTGTTTATTTAAGCTGCCTATGACGCCCGTTTCACTGCTGACAAGCTAGCTCGTATTTAGTGACACAAATCTTCATCAAATATTTCTCTCATAACGACCAAAGTTGGTTATTCATAATGATATCATTATTTACTTTAATAAAAATGATTAAAATTAATATATATGATTAAAAAATATATATATTTGTACTTAGAATAAATAATACAATAACAATAATTATTATTTTGTTAATAAAGAGAATATATATATCTTGTATTGTTATTGAGTCATTTATTCAAATTGTTTGCATAAACTTTTGTATATCATTCAGCAATTATTGATAAGAGACAAACTATTGCTTAAAATTCTGGAAAACACGTGGACATCCTAGTAATACCAGGAAGTAAGGGGAAACATTCGGGAAATGTGGGGCATAATTTGGGACATAGGAGGAAATACGGGGAATTTAGGGAAATACTGGGAAATATATAGGACTAATACCAAAAAATATATGAAATTAATAAAAAACCTTATATGTATGTATAATAAGAAATAAACCAAAACTATTACATAAATAGGTGGATAATTTGATAATACTTGAAAGTACCAGAAAGTATTTGGAAATATTTGTGTAATGGGGGGAATTGCTGCGAAATATGAAAATAGAGTGAGAGTGAGCAATGGAAAAGCTATCGCAGCAAAATAAAAGAACAACTTTGTTCGTTATTTTGTCACTAAAAGGAATATATGCGTTGTATTATTATTACGTCATTTATTCAAATTGTTTGAATTAATTTTTGTATATCGTTTAGATATTACTAAGAATAGCTAAAAACGAGTGTTTACATAAAGCATTAGAATTAATAAAAAAAACCTTGTAAAATACATTTTGTGCTCATAAAAAAAAATTAAGTAAATCTATGGCGTAAATAAAAGGATACTTACCGATTAAACCAGGAATTACGGTGAAATATGAGGAAATGTCTGGGTAAAATGGGGAAATACTGGGCAATACTTGCCTAATATCAGGTAATATGAGGAAATGTTTCCCTATGACGAAATATTTTACAATTCTCTGAAAATATCTAATTTAAAATTATACAGAGTGAGCAATGGGAAAGCTCTCGCAGCATTGAAACAATTTTTCGGCGAAATCCAAAAATTTCTTTGTTCGCATTAAAGTTATTAAACAAACCTTGTTAAAAACATTTTGTCTTCATAAAAAAAAAAACTAACCAAAACTATCGCATGAAAAAGGATACATACTTGGAAATATTCGGATTAAACCAGGAATTACGGTGAAATATGAGGAAACATTTAGCCACTTCGGACATTTCCGGGATTTTACCGCACGGCTTTGGAAGCAATCGGATGTTTTCGGAGATATTTCCACATTTGTTGCATAATGTTACATAATAAAAGTTATGAAACGGGATGAAAAGGGATACATACGTTGAAATATTCGGATTAAACTAGGAATTATGGTGAAATATTAATCCAAATTTCCAATGTTAGCGGAAGCATTTAGTTGTTATCTAGCGCCTTCACT